CTTGGGTTCATAATAAACTTGGGTTCATAATAAACTTACTTAGTATAATTTCAGAGCTGAGCAAAGAGATTCCAGCAATCTGATTGGTCAAGCTGTTCGCTATATGGCGCTATATAAACCACTCCACACGGTTCATATAAAATGTTAAAAGAAAATGTTAGTAAATGTTACTAAAATGTTATGATTTTAGAAATTTTTCTGTTGTTCAGCTCTGAAATTATACCAAAACAATTATTCGCCTCAGGTTCAGTGAATATTGTCGAACAATCCCCTCGACTTCGTCTCGGGGATTATTCGGCGATATTCACCTTGCCTTCGGCAAATAATTGTGAAATAGCTGTAGCCATAATTATTGGGTAATACCTACTAGTCATTAAGCTTAACCGTGTGACCCCTAAGGGTAACTAACATCTAATTTGTCCTTACAATATCACCACTGAAATAAAACATTTAAGGTCACAAGAATGAAGGAATCATATGATCACCAAATGAAGAAGCTCTTGATTATTCAACAAATTCTCCTTGTCGGCACCTTAGGAAATGTATGTAGAATAGTATGGAGAATATGCATACTGATGTTAGGGTGTAAAGGTAAGCAATGGACAACTAAATTATTCTTATTTACTAATAATGGGGGCCCCAATTTTTTTTTTTCCATGAGGAGAGTAATTATTTTGTTGCATGTAACAATGTAATAGCACTTGTAACCTGTGTTGCTATTGAAACTTAGTTCCCATCTACTGTCTTCTCTGGTTAGTTTCAAAAACCTCACAGGACACAAAAAAAAAATAATGCTTTCTATGAAAGATATGTAAGGCACTTTAAACTAAATTAATAGAGTTTGTCTTTGGTTTAGGAGCACATTACTATTATCCCCATTCTATTTCTTACCTTTTGTAGCTTGGTGACTGTTTGATAACAATATTTGACAGAATTTTGTGTATCAAGCTCACACTAGCACGTCTGAGGGTTAAGCTATGAAAGGAAAAGAAGATAAAACTAGTTAAGATTTTAAGTGTAAGCCCTTGGTAAGAGCATCTTTTGCTCTGAGGAAGGGCTGATGCTCGAAACCTCAACTTGGAAACTCTTTATGGTGGTCCATTTACATTAATTGCCAACTCAGTTGACACAACCAAATTTTCTTTCGTCTATGTAGCACCACCGACAGAAGTTTCTTTGAAAAACTTGCCCCCTTTATTAGTCAAGATTTCATCTTATTACTGTATTAGTGACACTATATTACTAGATGCAGTGGTAAATATAATGCTATGGCCACAGTGAAAATAGTAGTAGTTATAATTAATAGCCACTACATGCAGTATTTGCAACCAACTTAACAATGCAAGCAAAGTGAAAATGAAGCTATTTTTGAGTTATCTGGTTGTTTGTGTTGAAGTCACCGCTATGTAAGCTCTCATAGGTTAAGGCACGAGCATACCTTTGCTTTGCCACTTTGCGAGACAAATAGACTTAAAAAACAGTTTTTTTTATTGCTTCGGCCAGAATAGTCAACAGCAACAAATAATGTACAAGTTCCCCCTTAAGACGAACTACGTATTTTTTTAATAATAAGATGTATACATGTACATAGTAATTTTTATTTCACATCTGTGAATATGCAATTCAGTTCATGCTGCAAAGTATATACCAATAAAGTATCTATCTATCTATCTAGTTATGTCAATTGAGTTACAATATCAACTTTGATAGTATCGCATAAAAAAAACCAACTTAGGTACTTTTCTTATTACAAAGTCAGCATGTGCTTAGTGATCACAAAAGATTTTATCCAACCAATGTTATGAACAAAATTTCTGGTTGACTATGGATGTGAAGTCAGTGAAGGTGAGGAAAGTTGGTAAATTTTCCCCACATTGTTTCCCTCTTTCATTTCCACAAAGGAATTACCAAATATACTCTCTTGGAATAAATTAGAGGACAGAGCACAGGTAATGGTGAAACACATGGGCGAATTACTTTCACTATATTGCTGGAGTAAAACTGTGCTGTTTAACAGAGCTCTTATGGTTGTGGGCGAATGACTTTGAAAGGCAGGCAAACCAATTCAGAACGGTTTAATAAATATGAATTTACTAGAAAATTAATTATATTGTTATTTTAGTCATTTCCCTGAAAAGCTTATTTAGTGGCGTGGAGAAATTTAAATAAACACCTTTGCTAACTGTCAAAGAGACGTTTGTTGTAGTCATTTTAAAATAATAGTGATGAATTGCTTGTGGTTATAGTTGTTTCCTAGTCCAGAGATGGAGAGCGGTTTGTCTGTTAGGGTATAAATTTGATAAAAATGCAGGTGAGTAACTCGATCTATTATTCAAATCATGTTTTTTAGTTGTTCAATTTCACAAACCTTTTTAGGGGGGGGCAACCTCTCGCAAAACTAAACTTAGTGGCATTTGATTTCCACGAACAATTTACTAACTGAATAGGAGACCAACTGTAACAAAACGCTACCCTTACATGACATAGATACTCTTTGTTTTGACATTTAATCGAGGTGATCTGGTGACTATTACGGAGAAAAAGGGGCTTCGGTTGACGTTTCGGATGAGTTTACGATGTTTTGAAATTTTGCGCCACAATTATCTTGTCGATCGAGCGATCGATCAATCAGTGATGCTTTCATCAACTGTAGAAGACCATTTAATTCCGAGGAGAGTTGCTCCTAGCTGAAATGTCGAATTTGGAAGGAGCTTTTTCGCCAGTTCCCGTGCACAGGTACTTGTATGCGATAATTTCTCCGTACCCTGTCCGTGGTGTTAGGATCGATGTTTTAGCGGAAAAATGTCAACAAAATGTGTTGCTTCGTCTACTGGATAGAGATCTATCCAGGTGATAACATTAATTAATCAATCTTTGAGTAACCAGGGCCAGATGGAAAATTTGGAGCTAGGTCCTGGGGTAAATTGATCGAAATTGAAAACGCGATCACGCAATCTTTTACAGATTCCTCGTTGTCGTCTGTCACATAGGCAACGCTCATTCACATATCGTGGATGCAAACTTTGGAACTGTATTTCTAATGAGTTGAAAGCTGCGGACAGTGTAAATAGCTTCAGGCGTCTTTTAGCGCAAAAGCTATTAAGCGGAGAGCATTTGTATAGAGGTTTTTCACAGCAGCCATGTTGGATGGCAGGAACAATGAAAATATTTTGCATAAGAAAGAAATTTTTTTCCCATGGGCAAAATAATCTATTGTTCCTGCCATCCAACATGGCTGCTTTTCAAAACCTCTATTGAGTAAACTTAATCTTTAATTATACTTTTAGGTCTTTTGTAATTGATTCTAGCGATAAAAATGTATTATTAAAAACTGAATCATTGGATAATGCAATTCAAGAATTTTTATTGGCTTAGCCATTATGGTATAATTATGAGCCAATAAATTATATCGTAATCTACAACTATGGTAAGGGTTCGTGTCAGCTTAAAAATTAAAAGGGAGCAAAAAATTTAGTAAAATTTGATATTGAATTTAATGTTTTTAATAAAACAATTATTCCACTCATGCTTGTTGGATATGAGATGATTATAGCCAACTCGGCGCTACACGCCTCGTTGGCTATCTATCATCTCATTTCCAACGTGCGGTCGTGAAGTAATTGTTAATTATTTAACTGTTTTTTCTTCTTCTCCTTTTTAACTTATAACAGTACCCTAAATATTGTAGCTAGACATTAGGGACCTTAAGCAACCACGACAGCGATGGCAACTAGGAGGTGGAAAAACAAGAGATCTAATTGGCAGAACAATAACTCAGTGCATGCATTTTGAAACTTTGTACATTTCTTAGCCGTCCTATGCAAAACAACAATGTGAAATTGCCAAAATTTGTGTCGTCTGTGAACTGAAACCGGGACAGCAAATTATTTTAATTTCCATTTGGAACTCAACACTGCTTTTATACGTCATGCTGAAGTTGAGCTGTGGCATTGTATATGAGACAGTAAGCTCATGCAGCCATTTTTAAAATTCTAACTAAGAGTAGAAATTCATTTTTTAATCTAAGTCTTCCTTGGCGTTGCCTTCCTGACTGCTTAAGGTCCCTATTGTAACCAAAAAGCCCAAGTTGGGAGTTAAAATAAATGTTACTTTGTATGTTAACGTAGGTAATGCATCCTTGCATGCACAGATTGTGCAAATTGACCTTGGAACATGCTCCAGGAATGAAATCCTATGAGTCTATTGATCTTAATTACTCCATGCATGAGAAATCCCATCCTGCACTCACACATTCATACTTCAGTTCTAAATATTCACACATACTGGATTTGCAACCAATGCCATGGTACCACATGTGAGGGAAATAAATCAAATGCCTAGTCAAGAACAAGAGAAAGTAAATTACTGTCCTTGCTATTGCATATGATTTATTTGTTTGTTTGTTTGTGTGAAGAATCAACTAGGATATTATGATTTGTTCATTTTCTCTGAATTATAGGACAACTGGCAGCTATTACAGAGGATACATTACTCCACCTGAAAGATTTATCAGTACCCAACTGTCAGGGGGACTAAGGGTACTGTATAAAAAGCTTGAAGAAAAAAAA